CTGATGTGTCACAAGTATAGATATTCTGACAGCTCTCTTATCAAAAGAGCAGACGCTCTAACACCAGTGGAGATGATTATGACAGATATTCAATTATCAATTTCCTTGTGAAAGCACCACTGCTCTGCGTTTTGGTAAGGTATGTAATTTTGTAATGACACTGTAGAAATAGATGCTGGACCAATCTGTTGCGCATGGAAAAGGCTTTCTGATGCACTGTCGAAAGGCTGTGATTTTTCAATCCTCTCTAATCACACATGCTCTGCGGTCAGTGGGCTTGTACCTCTGACCGTTTCCCAGGCACCTTCTTAAACTGGAGGCTCTAGCACACAAACAAATTACAGTAAACAAATGCAAAAATTTATGTTTTTTTTTCTCCAATAGTGCAACACTGATTAATAAAAACAAATTTTTTTCCCACTCGATGCTACTCTCCTTGCAAACATGAGATGACGTGTACAAGACCGTATAATCATTATTTTCACATACTTTTTCTTTAAAGGCAATGTTCCTCATATTTTGTTTGTGATAGACAAGAAAAAGAAGCGACATATCTAAAATCCCTTGCTGGCTGGATGAGATTTCACCCTTTTTGCATTTGTGATTTGTGTAATGCAGTGCAATGTGTTACGTTGCACAGTTATTTTGATGTTCTTCATCAGTGTAACTCTGCGGAGTGACAGAAGTTTCTCAAAGTAAGCCATCTTTTATATTCTTACATTGGCTGAAATAAATGCTAGTGTTTTTTTTGTTTTTTTTAAGGCTGCCTTTTCAGGCATGGTAGATCACAGATTTTTCTAGCTCAAGAAGGAAAATACATTACAAACCTTAAGTAGAATTGTAGAATTTCATAAATTTGCTAAAAAATTTCCTCTCCCAATATCTTGCTCTCCCAACCTCCACCGACTTAATAATCACAAGAGCTTATCTGATAGCTTTAAGCCCACTTGGCATCTTGCCGAGACTGAAGCGCTCCGGCCCTCGCGAAAACAAAACCTGGCTGACAGAAGGGGAAATGGCCTGTGGCAGAACACCAAAATCAGCAAAATTTCTCGTACTGCTGAGAATTTATTCATGTTTTGCCATCCTTTCACTGACCCGTGTGCACTGATTTCAAGTTGAGATAAGTTTACGGTGCCCTCCGAAAGGATTCAAACCAATCATTTCCATACTGTCATACTGCAACCGCAAACTTAATTGCATTTAATGGGTTGGGGGGGGTTTCTGTGTGAGACCAAGACAAAGTAGTACTTCATATAGAAAGAAATGATGTGTAATTTTAATAAAAGTGAGCTGTTTGTTTCAATTAAATAATGAAAAATTAACAACAAAGGGTGTTTGGTCCCTTTTTGCATAGTGATGTGCTTACGTATTTCCAGAAATAATTACTGTCTATTGGGTTCAAGTTAATATTTCTGAATTTGCAGATATATTATGTTATTGCAACCACGAAGCTTGATATGTTTCATTTGATTTTTTTTGTTTTGTCACAGAGATGAAAATTGACACATGGATTGAGTCTTTATAATAAAAATCTGAAAATGTTGGCATGCATTTGTATCTTGCCTACATTATTCTGATACCCCTAAATCTAATCCAGTTAAACCTGCTGCTTTCAGAAGACACCTAATTGTTAAACTGGCACAGCGTCTCAATTGGTTTTAGGTTTGGACTTTGACTAGGCCATTCAAACTAAACACTGATGTTCTCTAACAAACCTGTACGATCTCCACATAACTAAGATTGAGTGGCATTTAACTCTGTAGCTTGTTTGCTTCACTTTGTTACAACAATAACAAACCCTCTCCTCCCCCAAAAAAAACACTGAAGCACTGAAGGTTTTAACTCAACTCTTTTGGAAATAATGTTTTGCGTGTTTTGAGACATTTTCTCTAAGCAGCCTTTATTGCAGCCTTCGCTACAGTAGTGAACAGGTTGAACACCTGCTGCCGTCCTCCTTTGTTCAGCTCTGTTTGGTTGATGTGTGCTTGTTCAAATAATATACAATCAGCGCGGGGCAGGTGGTGGTTACTGTAAAAGAAGTTGGGAGGGAAGAACGGGGGTTGAAAGATGAACATGGAACAGGAGCTGTAAAAACTGAGCAGCTTTGTTTTGAGATATGACAGCCTGGAACGTGTCCGCCGCACTCGTACCACACTCATTTATTAGCTTTTGTCTGTGTTTTGGTGAAGGTGACTGAATTCGTGGGCAGCAGTCAGTGTTTCAGATTAAAGCTGCTAAAGTCTGTGGAGCGTCTCGCCATCTTATTGACAATGCCGATATAGTTTCCAATATCACACTCACACAAATCTGTTTACATTGTTTTTCACTGTGTCGATGGCAATCAGGTGCAGTAAAACCCTCTGTTTTGACCTGACCATGTTCCACAATGACTGAGCCTTCAGTGTTGGCAGCGGATTGGTTGCATTGCAGGGTGGAGCCTTGGCACAGCCAACAGATGCTCCATCAAACTGGGATCTGGGTTTGCAGGCCAGTGCCTTGCTGACTCTGTGCTGCATTTATCAGGATCCTCCACTCTGGGGCTTTTGCACATTGTCTGGCAGGATGCAATTCCTGCTTTCAGGGTGTGCCACTGCAAAGGTGGGCGAGACGCCAGTCTACAGCAATGTTTAGGTGGGTGTTTCTGTCACAGGCTGGCCAGCGGAGAGCTACATTATAACCCGATGGTCTCTGTCGTCCTATGGTTTTGTGCTTCAACGAGAGAAAATTTATTGGTGTTGGGCTTTTGTTTTTAACATGGATAGATGGCATGCAGTTAGATTTTCACTGTTCTGTATGTTATGAGAGTGGATGTGTTTTTAGCGACTAGCAACTACTTAGACACTGGAGAACATCCTTTTATAAAGCATTTGAGTACCTTATCTGATGATGTGTTAAATAAATTACCAAAACATTGCGATAGATGAATTTATTAACGCATTCGATGTATATGTTTGAAATTTCATCTCAAGATATTTGTCTAAATAGTCTGACCTTTGGCCTTTAGCAGCAATAAAGCTAAAAAGCTCCCTGCAAAGCTTCACTGTTAGAAAATCTTGAGCAAAGTACTTTGACTTTTAAAATAAAAATTTACTGTATTACTGCCATACAAAATATATCTCATAGATCATCTCAAATCAAAGGTCAAACACTTTTGTGCAACGTTCTTTTTTGTTTTCTACAACATTCTTAAAAAAAAAGACTTTATTTTAACACTTCATTATTTATTTTGCTGTGTAAATATGCTGACTTGGCTTGCTTTGCAAGCTCATGTTTAACATGTGCATATGTTGCCCTTGTGTCAGCTCATACTCCACTGAATGCTCACCATAACACTCACATTATTCACCCTTGGAGCCCTTTCTACTGCTTCACATGCCCGTGCTTCCACTGAGTGCAGCTCCAATAGTGGCCCCCATTGTGATTCGGTTAAACAGCTGGATAATTGCAGTCATCATTGCTGAGAGGCGCCGTGGGTGTGCCGCATGTGAGTGTTTGTTCGGTTACTTTGCGTTTGCCGCCTAAAGTAGACGAGTGCTGATTGCCGGTCCAGCACCGCTCAGAGGGAGTGAGAGACGAGGGCTCCAATTGAGGTCTGTAATAGCTCTCCTTTCAGCGGTGTGCCGAATCTCATCATTATCCACAAAAACGTTGTGAGAGAAAGGAATAATAGAGCAGTGTTACTCAGCAATATTTAATCGTTCCACTTATTCGTTTAAAAGCCTTCGCAAAAGTGTTACCCCTTGAACTTTTTCGCATTTTGTCACTTCGACACCACTGAAATAGTGATTTAAATTTTAGTTTGTGCAATGAAGCACAAAGTATTGCACAACTGTGGAATTAAAAAAAAAGAAAATTGTGACATACTGTATTCTAATGCTAACAAAATCCACTTGTTGCTTTTGTTGTTTTTCACTAATTAAAGTTTAGTTGTGTGTATTTTAATCAAGAGGCCCAAGGTAACTTTGGATGAGTCGCTAAGATGCAAAGCTTAGAGCATTAATAGAGAATCCCCCTCCTAATCTGCTTGAAGTTGATCAAAACTCACATCAAGGATACAGAAAACGCATAGAAGAATGTGTCTTGCTAAGATAAAATTAATGTTTTACTTCTTGGTCTACTTTGAAACCACTATGTGTAATGTCAAGATGGATGGCGCTGCATAAAGGGCAGTCACATTGGAGTCGCTCATTATTATTTGTATAAAGAGAAAAGTGTAAAAGTTAAAGCGGATCCTCTGAAAGTGCTTAATTTTAATGGGACATGATATCAATTATATCATACTGCTTGCTGCATAAACATTTCGGTGGCCCTGTGCCACCATTTGTTTAGAATCACTTTTAATTTGGGACATTTTCCAGATTTCATAAAAAAAAAAATTAAAAACATTAGAAACATTTAGTCTCTTAGCACCAATAAACATCTTGAGTTTGATTTTATTTAAATCTCTTTCTTGTTTTATTTGAGATTTAACAGCATTTTAATGTTCACACATATCTGCTTTCATATGTGTGATCCTTGCATTGTTTGATATCCGTTAAGCAGTTCATTGTGTTCAGCAGTGGAGCGGTTTTACCAAAAGTTATCAGCATGGGATCATTTTCATTTGTTTTTTAGCAATCAGCTTTTTGGGGGGTTTTGTGTCAATGAATGTTGTCACTAACATCTTAATCTCGCCTTGACCGGTAAACATTACACAAGCACGACCGTTCAAGTTCTTTGGTAACATCGCAGCATGTAAATACTGCTCTCTCTTCCCGGCACAAACATTAGAAGGAAATGATGAACTGCGGTTGTCGTTGATGAGCTTAGCTGCCCTGGCAACAGAGCTACAGGGAATGGCCTTTTAATTTTGCTGCTCCCTAATTAAGGTACAAATCATTTGCGGTCAAAGTGAAAGTGCGCCTTAGTTTTAGGCTTGTGTTGTGAAAATATAAGCACGTCTCACACTGTAACAGAAGCTATGTGTGAAAGTAAGCGGTCTCTCTTTTGTCTTTCAGGTAACTTTCTCTGTTGTCATGTGGGTAGAACCAAACTAGGCCTTCCGCTAGACTGTTAAGAAAGCCACGGAAAGCGGTAGAACATCCCATCCTCTTTCATCACATGGATGAAGAATAACTTCACTGTCTCCAGAGAATTTCCAGAACTTGAACTGAAGCATCAAAGAACAAGCGTCTTGCAGTCTTCCTCATCAGCCTTCCACTCGCCGACGTCACGCCCTCGCTATGAGCGGACTGGTGGGGAAGCTGGACCCCCGCAGGATACAGTGGGGCTCAGCATGGAACACCTTCACGTCGCGCGTGCTGAGGACCAAACCCGTGGAGTCCATGCTGGATTCGGCAGTGTCTGGCACCAGCTCACATGGCACCAGACTGGCCCGGGTGTTGTCCACGGTGGATCTGGTGTCGCTCGGTGTGGGCAGCTGCGTCGGGACGGGGATGTATGTGGTCTCGGGGCTTGTTGCCAAGGAGATGGCTGGCCCAGGGGTCATTGTGTCCTTCATCATCGCAGCTGTGGCATCCATACTTTCAGGTAAGAGAGACAGAGATGGCATTCTTTTGCCATCTCTGGCTTTCACACACACTTGGCGATTAAAGCAGCAGTAAGATGCAGACATTTATACCATCATTAAACCTCTGATTCACAAGAGCCTTCAGTAAGCGTTCATATTATTATAAGGTCAACGCCATTATAGTTTTAATTTGATATATCCTCAAAGGATGCTTCACTATAACCCTACAGTTCTAATCAGTTTCCTTAAGTCAGCTTTTTACTCCTTGCACTATGTCACAGAGGGTGCCTGTGTGTGTGTCTTCTTGTCTTTACTGAAGGAGTGTGTTATGCAGAGTTTGGGGTGCGTGTGCCTAAGACCACAGGTTCTGCCTACACATACAGCTACGTAACCGTGGGAGAGTGCGTGGCTTTTTTCATCGGCTGGAACTTGATCCTGGAGTATCTGATCGGCACGGCGGCGGGGGCGTCGGCTCTCAGCAGCATGGCAGACTCTCTGGCCAATCACAGCATCAGCAACTTCATGATTTCACATATTGGCACACTCAACGGCTTGGGTAAGTGGCTGCTTTTGATTGGGCTTTACTTTTTTGTGTGTGTTCATTGGTTTTATTTTATGTTGGCTGATTCATAAATTTTATGAAATGGAAATGATAGCGACTGGTTGAGCTGTTAGTTTTGCCATGGTTGGCACTCATAGAAGCCGGGTAATCATAACACACAGTTATTTGTCTACTTAAAAACAGACATTTCTTGGTCGGATTTGGCCAAATAAAATATATTGCATCCTCTTGATGAAAAACAAAACTACACAAGCAGAGCTTTTTTTTTTTTAACCATAAACGTTGGCAGGAGTAGTTTTACTTCCAGTCAGAAAAGCCAAGACCTAATGAAAAATAGCATCTGCTGTTCCATCTTGAATTATGAAAATAAATCCTCAAACATAGCTTTCCAGTTTGAAGCCATGTGAAGAAGGCTGCTCTCTTTGGTGCAAACAACTGTCACTGACTTGTCAGATTCTTACTTTGTGGTCTATGATGATGAATACAGTCAAAGGAATGCAGTTCCACCATCTGACCCAAAGTAATCTCAGTTCAACAACTAAACCATGAAGTGTCTTTCCCTTTGCACATGCCTCTGGCAGACCCAGTTGAATTTCCCAGTGGACACTGAGAACATGGTGGGAGTGGTCACATGGCTCGCAGTATGGCCAGCTGTTCCAATGGTTTATTTGAAAAGCGTTGTTTCCCTTTCCAGCTGGTGAATTGTTCCTCCCCGCCCAGGGGAAGTTGTGGAATTTTGCTAAAAATACACAGATCTGGTGAAACGTGTAAACGGACTCTTCATGTTCGTGAATGCGCTCTTAATTTTGGGCTTTTAAAATGTTTGTCCAACACAAATAGAAAGATTTGCCTTACACATGAAGTAGTTACAAGCTGAAATTTTGTTTGCTTTTCTTTTTTGTGATGCACAAAAAATAAAGGACTTATTTTAGCGTCAACTATAATAAAGTATAGGAAACTCATATAGCACATTTTGTTAACTTCTTGACAACACAACTGATATAATCTTTGATTGTCTTTTTTGCAATTTCTTAACTTCATTGCACTGCGAATAAGATAAAGACAATTTTAGAGACTAGGAATAAAACAACACATTCATTCCACACAAAAATGTCTTTTCAAAATTTTGGAAATATACCTCTGGAAAAATTCTACTCTAAGAATTGTACTAACTGTATTTTATTTAAAAATTATGTCCATCTTTTTGTTTTGTATCTGGAGTCTTTATTCTAGTTGTTGCCACAGCTGCCTAATGAAATACATTGATACATCAAAATGCTTTGGGGTAGATATGAGTGTGTGTGTGTGTGTGTGTGTGTTATTTCTAGGTAAAGGGGAGCAGTCATACCCAGATCTGCTGGCTCTTCTGATAGCCTTGCTGGTGACAGTGATCGTGGCTTTGGGAGTGAAGAACTCTGTTGGCTTCAACAACGCTCTGAACATCATCAACCTCATTGTGTGGGTTCTCATGATGATTGCTGGGCTGTTCTTTGTCAACGGAGAGAACTGGGATGAAGGGAGATTCCTACCCTTTGGCTGGTCAGGGGTATGCATGCACACTCTCATCTGCAACACTGGGAAACACGTGTAAGAAGCCTTACTGTACATGTATCTTGTAATAAATAATGTAATAATTTCAAAGAGAAAGAATTGTAAAAATAATAAAAAATAATAAATAATATCTGTAATTTGAGGGAATTTGATCAGTGGGGGACATTTCTTGTTGGATTTCAAAATTGTTTTGACAAAATCATCCGAAGCACAATTACTTCAGGGTTTCAATGTAAAAGAACCATTTATTTAATTTTATATTGTGTGAACACAATAAAAGACAGTACCAAATTGTCAGAACTTTGTGGTAGAGAACTTCAGCAATGAGTGCCATTTTTTTTGTAAGTTTCCATAATTAGCATGAGTCTATTTAAAAATTGATTCTTTGGAAGAGATTATTGGACATTTTCTATCCATCACAACATTGCAGACTTTTCCAGCAATAATTACTCCAAGTTGGTTCAGCAGAAAATAAACTTAATCTATTGGAAAGTATGTTATCTTTTCTGCGTGAGATTTTGATTCTGCAGTAAAACTTTTCATCATAAGATCTTTTTAACATGTTTACCACAGGCACTCATGAATGCAGGTAACAATGCGTACACAACCCGAAATGTCCAAGTACATGCAGGGCCAGTCATCTTTTTATGAGCTATACTTCCTTCTTGTTGGGTGCAGGTGATGCAGGGTGCAGCCACCTGCTTCTATGCCTTCATCGGGTTTGACATCATCGCCACAACAGGAGAAGAGGCCAAAAGCCCCAACACCTCCATCCCCTACGCCATCACTGCCTCACTCATCACCTGCCTCACTGCCTATGTCTCCGTGAGTCAATTAAATTTGTAATTCTCTAATTATATATAATTGTTATATATAATTATAAATGTGTTATCCTAACTTTTTCCCACACCAGACATTCAGTTTTTAGAAGAAAAGAAAAGTCTTTTTGCTATGACTAAATATCATAGCAAAACATAGGGGTCTCCTATGTTTTTTTTTATTTTTTATTTTTTTATTTCTATGTAGACAAAGCAATGTTTTACTTCCAGTTATGAATTCATATTTATTCCTGATCTTCACACCTAAATTTGAACTTTTGCTTTCAGTTCCTGTTGGTTGTCCCATGAATACAAACTGAGAAGTTTGTCCCGACTGTTGTATTCCTGACAGGTGGAAGAAAAGAGCCTCTCCCCACAGGCTAAATGTGGGAGAGTGCATCTCCACCACAATCATGTATTCAGCTCAGACAGCATAGTGTTCCATTGTGTACAGTGAGTGGTTGCTGTTGTGGGTTCTGGGGAATATCAATCAATTAAAACATAAGTTTTTTTTTTTTTTTTTTCAAATTTTACTGAAGCAAAGATTACATCAGCTTCAGATTGTGTCTCCCTGTCACATCAACTTCCACACATTACCCCTAGCATGAGCTCAAAAAATGGTTTTCCCCTATTTTTAACCTCTGCCTTTCTTTGATCTGCCTCACGCTGTCTGCATCTGGGAGAAACTTTCCTGCTCCCTGTAGATCTAAAGTAAAGCTACTGACTCATTCCTCTGGTGACAGAGATTCTGAAATTTGCTTGAGTGACAGACTGTAGCTAACTTTTTCATTCACAATGGTAGAAATTCTTATTTATTTATTTTTTCTCTGATGAGTATTCCAGGTATATTTTTTCATAATCATATTCTTTGGTTGTTGTTATTAAATAACTCTCAATGGCGGTCAGGAACAAACTGCTCTTTTACAAAACAATGAATCCAATGTGAGTTTAAGCTTGACAGCTGAGGTCTTCTTTATACTTTTTCTTGAAACACAGACAGGCTTTATGATAGTTAATACTTTATAGTATTGGTTGTTTTGTAAATATTAATTGGCTTATGGACAATATCTACTGAAACAGCCACAGCATAACATGATGGGTTGATAAGTTTTCTTATGACTAAAGGTTTTTAGAATGAATCTTTTGTTGTTAGATATTACACTAAAAAGCAGTGGCATTTTAGTGGTGCCAATACTGGTTATGCATGGAAGTAAGATCCTACATAATCTGTGGACTTCGTTGCTAAGAAAAGAAAAAAAAAATCCAAAGATTTAACTCCAGCTTGACTGAAGGTAATGACCCTAATATTTAAGAATGGTCATAAACTGCACAGCTCCAGAGCATTATCCCTAATTTTCCTTCCAATGAGTTACTGTTATCTTTAGCAACTTTACTTTTAGCAATTACATCTGCTGGGAGTCTGATGGGACTCTGTTTTGCTAATATTTACTACGCTCAATAGTGGCGCCAAACCTAAGAATACAATCAATCAATGATACTTGTGTCGCCAGACTTACTGACACTCTGCTCAAAATTTTGCAGGTTTTACTTCAGTAGAATAACGTCATACTGAAGATGCTGGAAATTTTTACCTTTGAATACATTTCTGATGTAATTTTCAGTCATAAAATTAAATGCATCACCCCAGCTGTTAATATTTTGTACAGCCTGACAAGGAATCAAGCATTTTCTATATTTTTATTCTAACATTATTAATTTATTTTATTTTAACCACCTTGACTTGTGAGGTGATGAGGTAAACTTGGTGTTCTGGTTGTTTTAAGCTTTTCTTTTTATTATTTGCCTATATCCAATTGCTGTGGATATAGGCAAGATTAATAAAGCACCTATTGTCATCCCACCAGTTTCTGACGTACTGTGGGCAACAAAGATCTTCTTTATTGTTCTTTTATATTTCCTGTTTTGGAGAGTTGTTAAAAAACCTCACTGAGCTATTAGTCTTTTCCAAACAGAGCAGTGGTGAAAAATTTGCGAATGGCATTTCCTGCCAGGGGGCCAAATCTTTAGCTGAAACACATTTCTTTATTTCAGCTGTGTGGGGTTCATCTTTTTAATCACTCTCTCTTTTCTGTAGCAGTTATGCAAATCCAGCTCTTTTGCAGCCCTCAACTGTGACAGATGGCCCTGTGTGATTTCACACATCAGACGGAAGGACAAAAACATACAGATACACACACAGAAAGAGAGCGAATAATGACTAATGAGCAATTTGCATGCGGTGGGGAGAGCTTAGCACAATATTACTGTAAAGCCAAACTGTAAAACCGTAGTTCTCATTCAGCAGCAGTTAGAGTCCAATAAAACGTCCTTCGACTGAGTCAAGAAAGGACCTTGCAAATTTTTTTCTTTGATGAAAAGTTTTTGCTTCATATTTTAGTAAGAATTTGATGGGTTTTTGCTCTATTTTTGCATTTAAAATGGTGAAATGTCTTCATCTTTGTCAAAAGTAAAAGGTCGGAGCATTCTCAGGAACTCCATCCATCCAACCATTTTCTGAGCACCCTTCTCCCTAACGGGGTCGGGAGGTGCTGGTGCCCATCTCCAGCTGCGTTCCGGGCGAGAGGCGGGGTTCACCCTGGACAGGTCGCCAGTCTGTCGCAGCATTCTCAGGAACTAACAACACCAAATTTGTGCCTCTCCTTTAGGTCTCTGTGATACTGACGCTTATGGTCCCATACAATGAAATTGACGAAGATGCCCCGCTGATGGAGATGTTTGCCATCCATGGCTGCATGTTTGCAAAATACATAGTTGCTGTGGGGTCCATAGCTGGACTCACTGTGTCCCTCCTGGGGTCCCTGTTCCCCATGCCAAGGGTCATCTATGCTATGGCAGGAGATGGTCTTCTGTTTAAGTAAGTCTATGCTCTTATTGTACGTTGTTTAATTTTTGTGTCTGGAGAAATGACATAGCTTGTGTATCTTTACCACTCTCTGTGTGTAGGTTCCTGGCCAGTGTTTCTTCGTACACGGAGACCCCTGCTGTGGCCTGTGTTGTGTCTGGGTTTCTGGCTGCCCTTCTGTCCCTTCTGGTCAGCCTCAGAGACCTGATAGAGATGATGTCCATTGGCACTTTGCTGGCCTATACTCTAGTGAGTGATAAGTACCGGTACAAACAACATGTTTTGTATGTGTAATATCTAACCACAAAAGAGGATGCCTTCTTTTTCTGCTTTTGTGTATCTTAACTTTTAATTCTTCAGCTCTTTGGATTCCATAACTAAATTTATGCTTTGGTTACATTGAGCTGTATGGCCTGAGTTGGTGGGATTTGCCATTTTATGTCCCCACATATTCAGGAGAGCTTTCCACAGCCAGGTGGACTCTCACTGAGCAGGCAGGGTTAAACCCAAATACCTAATATTGCATCTAGTGCAGCAACAAACCTAATGCACTAGCATGTGTCATACTTGTAGCAAGCAGTGGCATTTTCCTGTCCTCCAATCAATGGACTTTGTTTTATGATGCCAGTCGCTCAGCACCAGTAGAATGGTGCATTGTAAGTCATTTGTATGAGATACTTTAACAATGGAAGCAGACAAAATGCTGACTGAACCACATTGGCCCATGTCTTACCATACAGAGATGAGGCATTATGATGTATTGCAATATTTACTTGTACTTTTCTCACATTTTTAATCACACTATAGACTCAAATTTCATTGTATTATCTTGAAAGTTTCTTGTGATAAGCTAAGTCAAAGCACCTTCAAAAGTGCATTATTTTACTTCCTCTTCACAATAATTTTCTACTTTGTGTTTTTCTAAGAGATAAAATCCCAATGAAAACAACAAAAATTTGTCAATTTTTTAATTGCTGAAATGTATTAAGGTTCAAGACACAACAAGACCATACAAATATAGTATGCAAACTGAACTGAGTTTAGCAATGGAAACATTAAAATCTGTAAAGGACCAATAAAATATCAGCAAAAAGCAGGTGTAATGATTTAAAACAAATAGCTTCAGTATGTGTATATTAACTTAAAAGGTAATGAAGAGAAAAACTTTGGTTTTAGTGTAACACAACTGCACAACATGTGCACAAAACAGTCTTTGGTTTTGATTTCTGCCTATGAAAGAAACAAACTTCTCTCTCTCCCTCTCTCTGCACAGGTGAGCCTTTGCGTGCTCCTCTTGCGTTACCAACCCGAGGGCGAAATCCACGGCTTTGTAAACTTTCTCTCTGAGGAGCAGAACAAGAAGAAAAAGGAAGGCATTCTGGCCGAGTGCGAGAAAGACGCTTGCTCGCCGACCAGTGAGGCCGACGAGTACGGAGGTCAGACCACGAACACCTGCGGGGCTAAAAACCTGCCGTCGCTAGGCGACAACGAGATGCTGATTGGGAAACCGGATAAAAATGCATACAGTGCCAGCCATCCCAACTACGGCACAGTGGATATGACAACCGGCATCGAGGCAGAGGAGTCAGAAGGAGGGATGTCTCGACGGCTCAAGAAGCTGATCGGACCTCGCTACTACACGTTGAGAATCCGTCTCGGCCTCCCTGGGAAAATGGACAGGCCAACTCCGGCCACGGGGAAAACCGTCACCGTGTGTGTGTTACTGCTGTTCATCTTGTTCTTCGCTTTCTGCTCCTTCATCATTTTTGGTAAGAACAAATCAGCAATGCCTTAGTCCAAGAAACAAGGGTACTGCAACGTCCAATCAAATCAACATTTGTTCCCTCTGTTCCAGGAGCGAACTTTATCACAGAGGGTCATTGGTGGGCCTTGCTGCTACTAATCTTCCTCATCATCTTCATTGCCCTGCTGATCATCATTATCCTCCAGCAGCCAGAAAACCCTAAGCGGCTGCCTTACATGGCACCCTGCGTGCCGTTCGTACCTGCTTCAGCCATGCTGGTCAACATCTACCTCATGCTTAAGCTGTCTGCCATCACCTGGATTCGATTTTCAATCTGGTGCCTCGTTGGTAAGCATACACTTTCCCAAAGACTTTGTTTGCCAGAAAAAAGGTTTGATGCGGAGCGAATCAAGGTATTATCCAGGACCGATCAGAGCAATGTTTTGGTTTCAAGCAATAACTCTGCTCAAATTACTTCCAATAACAGAAGAAAGTATTAATTCAATGGCTCAATTTGCCAAGAGACCCTTACGTTTATTTTTTTTAGCCGGAACAAAAGCTTATCAGGTTTTCTTTTCATTTCTTCCCCTATTGTAAGCTAATTTTTTAAACTTTTGAAATTCCTCTATTAATATTGTTGAGTAAAAGCTGTTGTTTTCTCTAGTCTTCTTGTTCTCTCAGGTTTGATCATGTTTTAGCCATAAACTCAAATGTATTTTATTGGCAGAGTACACAACCCAGTGACAAGTTTACCAAATAAGGTGTGAAAAATTGTTGACTTTGAACTCATTGTTCAAAGTCAGCAATAATCTATTATTTCCTTTCATTATTTGTAAATACGTTGAACTCACTCAGATTTAATGGGTCCACCTGTGAACAGAAATGTTTAAGTCTTGCCACATATTCTTGATAGGATTTTATTCTGGACTTTAACTAGTCTATCCTAACAAAGTTGAATGATTTAATCAAAGCAATTCTATTATATAACTGTATGTTTGAGGTTTTTGTCCTGCTCACTGTGCGTCACTGCCCAAATCACAAAAATTTTGCAACTTTTTCCAAGCTTTCTTTCAGGATTACCTTGTATTTCACTCAGTACAACTTTGTATTAGTTTACACCTGTTTTCCAGTTCTTGCTGAAGAACTTCATATCCTCTCATACAAACACAAAGTGCAGTGCAAATTATGTGTCAAGGACAAAAAAGTAAATTTATATTTTACCAAACCTCCTTGATCCACTTGTTTGTTACTTGAGCATTTTAGACATCGGTGGAAAAAGTTACTCTTCCTGCACACTCTTTCATGTGGGGTTTTTCTTTGTTTCTTTCATGTTCAGCGAGTTGTTTCCATGTATCCTTTCAGGTGTGCTTATCTACTTCGGCTACGGCATGTGGAACAGCACTCTGGAGATCACGGCCAGAGAAAACGAGGTGCATGCCTCCACCTACCAGCGCTACGATCAAGGCGTGGACGAAGGCTTCTGCGGCTTTGACGACAATTTCTACCCGCCCACCACTGACGCCTGGGGCGCGCCCGGCGGGGATTTAGAGGCGACTCCACCTCCAAAGGCAAAACCTGAAAGTGATGGGCTTTCCTCAAAAGGTGGAGGCAGAACCATTGCTAACAATGGCCTTGCGGAGGAGGATCCGATGGACTTCTGAAGGGACTGACTTCTGTGTTACATTGAATGTACTGCCTTGTCTGCTGCCTGGGGGATGGGGAAGGGGTCATGTGTGAGTGCATGACTGATTACAGGCGTGCGAGTGTGCTTGCATGCTTGCACGAGTGTGTAGTTGTTTTATGTATCAAACCCCCCGGGCTAGATGTTTTTTGGTTATTAGAACAGTTTGTCTTTTACCTTAGTTGACTTTGCTTGGGATGCTGCCCCCACACAAATGTGGACATAAATGTCTTCACGCTTTCACAGATCCGGACTCTTTAATCAACTTCCCAAACAAAGAAGGGCATGTCAGAAAAGTGTGAAGAAAGTGAGAGATTTGTGTTTTGCCGATGAAGTGCTGAAATGACAAGCCGAACTGAGCAACTTTTTAACTGATTAGTCAAGAACGTTGGCACAGAAGAGAAAAGAAGGGTGATGAGAGGGTCGTAAGATGAGTCAGCAACTGTCTTCCTGTTCCAGCACAGGCAGACAGACAGGAAACTATAACGGCAGTGTGATAAATACAAAGGCCTTCCGAAGGCAAAGTCTGACTTTGTCTGTTTTCAGCTTTTGTACAAAAACCTGAATGATTTGTCTAAAACACATTCTTAAACCTACGTTGAACATTTAGCCTGAGGGGTTTCCACCGGGGTTTTGGGCTAAAGGGTGTCGATGTTTTCTGTGATGACTAGTACTTGGACTTTGCTTGTAATAGTGCCTTCATCAACTATGTGTGTTTTTCTGGTCGTATCAGTTCTCTACTTCGATTTTTTATTTATTTTTTGGCCTGTGTATGTGTGTGTCCTGCTGTACTATGCCTTGCAAAGGTATTCACAAACCCTGAACTTTCCATATTTTGATATGTTCCAATGACAGGCATCACTCTATTTCATTTGGATTTTAAGTGACAGAGAATTTGTTGTCAAACCAATCCATTGCTGCTCTGGCTGGGGAGTTTTTTCCCCTCTGTTTTATGTTTGCAGAAACCTTCGACCTTTAACTTTGAGGTTTCCTTTTTTATTTAACTCCACCCACTCCCCTTCAACTCTTTTCAGCTTATGTGCTCCACTAAAGAAAATCGTTTTCACTGCCACCAACAAGATTCACCATGGACGGATGGAGAGGGTGAGGGGTGTTCAGACATTTTGATCTCATCTGACCAAGCCATCTTCCACATGTTTGATGTGTCTCCTAAGGCTGATGGCAAACTGCAAATGGGACTTCCCACTGCTTAATACTTCTCGCTACTTTTCCCTAAAGGCCAGAACTGTGCACTTCTCAGCTAATAGTAGCCATTTGAGCAGATTCTTATTCCTGAGCTGTGGGTCTTCATTCTTGCCATGGGCCTCTTGGCTGCTTCTCTGATAATGCTCCCCTACTCAGTTAGGTTTGTGGCCAAGTCTTCATATGTTTGCATGCGTGTTATTCTTCCCATTTTTGAACAATGGATTAAACAGTACTTTGTGTAATCTTCAAATGCTTAAGTCATTCCTACAACTTCATTTCTGCCCTGCCTGGCATTTTTCTTGCTAACGACGCACTACTTTGCATTTGCCTGTCATGCAAATTCTCAATAAAATACAGAAGGTTGAAGTTTACAAAATGTCAAAAAGAAAAGTGTACATACTTTTACAAGGCATTGTACAGTCAGTGCACTCAAACTTGAGTTTTATGTGAATTAGTGTTTGCACTAAGTGGGCTCTTGAGAATTTTAATTTTCACAGTATGTTTTGTTATTCCTTCGCATGGAAGTGAAATCAATTCACCTGCTGTCAAAAACAAAATGTGCAACATGAATTGCCAATCAAGTTGTAGAGATTAGACCCAGTAGACACACAGAAAGAGAGAATAGGTTGAGTCCTAGTTGGCAACCTGTAGTGTTTTCTGTCTGCTTTTGTATTTGAGCATATGAGGTTCTTTCTCTATGTCAGACCTGTAAGTAATTCATTCTCTCTTCAGTTTTTTTTTTTTTTTTGCTTAACTTTTCTATTGGAGAGGAGAAAAGAGAAACTAAAATCAAATTCTTCCTATTTATATAATCTCTTCTCTCCTCCTCCTTTATGGTTTTCCGTCACTTAATCGTTGCAAATTTCCATCCAACATTTTCTTCTCCAGCCCAGCTCTTTCATCTTTCATTTACCATCTTACTCCCCTCTTGATATCAATCGGGCCACATCAGCAGAAAGTAACCTCTCCGAGTCGCATGTAATAGGCCACCGAAGATTGGCTTGCACTCTGGAAATGTAACAGCAATCTGCTTATGGTCTGTCAGTTCGCTCACTACGTTTTTGATTTAACAGTCTCTGCTATCTGTCATATAATTCGTAACCAGCACTTATTTTGCTGCTGGCGGTTCAGCTGTAGTGCTGTAAATGGACTACACTTTTACTCCTGTGCTTTTTCAGGTTTTATGTATGTTGCATATACAGACAATTGTCTCAACGTCCCAAAGAGATTTAATTATTGCATTCAAAATGCAGGCTTGTTGTTGCAGTTGGAGAAAGAGCTTTACATTTAAAAAAAGGTATTGAGAGACATATGCAGACATTTCTTTATACAGTAAGAGGGATTTTTATAAACAACCAAATAGCACACTGTTATGCTATGACGTTGGGGGGAGGGGATGCTCCGTCAATTGCTTCTGGTGCTGCTGTCTGCCCTGATTGTTACCCCTCTACCTTTTCCTCGTGTGCCCCTGTTGCTGCACTGGTCCCTTGCAGGGAAGCCTTATTTGTCTAATGCACTAAATCTAAGGATGCCACGCTAAATCCTTATCCCCCGCCATCCCTCTCCCCCTACCGTAATCATCGAAAGCTTAAAAAACAAAAAGAATTTCTTTGCGGTTCTGGAAATGTCAAAGGAACATTCTTATGCAAATGAAGACAGCTCTGTGTTTCATGAACTTACTGTCATATTTAGGGCTAGGGCTTGACAAAGGTAAGGATTTGAACATCACAATGATCCGGTCTATTGTAAGGACTGAATTTTCTTAACAATTTTTCTTTTTAAAAAAAATTTAAATTACACAATCAAAGCTGAAGATAACTGTAAAATACCATCAGTTATCTAGTTTTAAGCAAGTTTGCGTCAGCAATGAATATATTGACAAATCATGAAGAGTTAGCAACTATTCCTGTTCTGCAAGTATTGGGATTTGCAAACTTTAAAACATGCAGTTTCTTGTCTTTCAATCTAGAGGCAGGTGATATAATAATGCCAAATTGTGAAGAATTAGAATTTAGCATTGTGATTCCAAATTCAATACCAGTTTTAGTCTCAAGCTACACTTCAAGATGCTTTTGTTCTATATTGATGGAAAAAAGTGAATGTCTACAGTTTATTAGACTATCAGGGAAAAAAAACAGTGGAAGTTAATAGGTGACCTCCCCCAACAGTTGTTGGTAACATTGACATTAAAGACTTTGAAGTTTGAAAGAAGAAGCATCTGAGCGGCTCTAGTGGTCAAAAGCCAAAGAATCTGTCAAAAGTAATTGCCCACTGCCCATGCTTTGTTTGATACTGTTTATCTTTTATTCTGTCTTCAGCTTCTTCAGCTTATATCTCAAGGTTGATGGAAAGAGAACCTGGATGAAACAGGGCACATGTAAAAAAAAATATATATATATAAAGTCAGAAAACAGTACAAGGGAGGCATGTATATTAAAATATCTGCCTCATTTTCTATTTTGATCTTCTGGGCTGTCAGGATAATATGCATTTGTAGGAGAGAACAGTTTACTTTTAGTATCAAAACAGCCAACAGAGACACTAGTTTTTTCCAACCTTTAGAATAAGAGGGTTAAGCATTTGCATAAAACCCATCAAACTTGTAATATCATCATTTCTATAGCTACAACGTTCTCGGTGAGTTGTGAGTTTGGATTCCAGACCATAGTTTGTCCGTGACAAGTATTCGTCATAGAGATGCTACTACAGCCACTAATTTTAGTTTCTATATTAAAAGTAATATATTGACTTTGATAATGTCAGATTACATAAAATTGGTAATGTGATGAATTGTGATTAGCCACTAATTACATCACGGATGAGTAGAAAAAGTGCTCTTTATTTGAGTTGTGTCGCTTTTGTCTTTGAAATTAAATTTTAAGGTAAACTGAAAAATACCTTTGTAGTAATGTTCTCTTGCCTGAATGTTATTCTTTTCTTTAACTGCATTTGCATAGAAATGTTTTGCTCTTGATTTTACTACTAAAAAAAACAGTATATGTTGACTATAGCGCCCACCGCAATGCTCACTAGGAATATCTTACATCACCATATCAGTTTCCTCCTGTCTCTGTTCAAAACTTTCAAAAGCTTTATAGTCACAGCCCAGCCAAAACAAACATGCAGATTAATTTGATTCCGTGTCTCAGATACTGGACTGTACAGTCATCTTTTTTCTTCATTTATTTATGTTTTGTTCTGTATATTTGAATCAAAGACTGTGTGAAAGCATGTGCAGTGCAGAGGTATGTGACTGTGTTCTGACGTCCACTCGTGGTCCACGCCTGCGCCTAAATGTGACCGTCTGGTGAATGTCCAGCATGTTTTTTTGTGCACAAGATTCAGTTTCTAAATATTGTACTTGCATGTGGTTACGGATCTCAACAGGACATGATAGACATTTGACAAAACCAAATTCAGGCTTAGTTCTTCTCTGCCTTGGAGCCCTGGTTTGTTTAATTCAGAGAAGGTGAAACAAGTAGTTTGTTTTTGTTTGTTTTATTTTTTATTTCGCAACCCAAAGCACTGCCTAGGATCCTCCTCTTGTTCCTTCTAATAATCTCTCTCTTTTTACATATATATTTATACTTATTCCAGCCTAAAATTTAAAAACCCACTTGTTCATTCCACTAGGTATGGAAACCATGGCTCCATTTGACAGAACTATGTAGCAAACAGTCTGATTTCCTGACTGACTTCCTTCACATCCTTTTTCATACACCTATAAAATGCCTAATTCCTGTATACACACTAAAACCTGCTGGGTTTAAAAACAGACCAATTAGGGTTACTTTGAAAAGTCAGTAATGGTACAAACATGAACCAACTCGTCACAATCAGCTTGTGGGTTTTCACCATAGTGGGTTGGAGTTGTAGAGGTTGTGTAAAACAATGTGGTAGTGAATGAACGTAGCTGAAATTCCCACGTTTCTGCACATTATGTTTTTTTAGGGGCTCTAAAAGTCACCTCAAACTGATGCTGCAGGTGTGGTGACTGGAAGGAAAGTCAAACTATGGATTCACAGTCTGCCATTCATTTGGCTCAGACACTTAAAAAAACCAAGTGACATCTTAGTACCTTTTATTTCGTCCTGTTGAAGAAGTTTTAATCATTTTGTTGTGTAGTTCAAAACTTCTCTCACCCAAAAATATTGAGCCTCCATTTTGTTTGCCCACTTAACAGCATTATTCCAGCATTCTGATTAAAGAAAAAACCCAGCAGGATTTTTTTTTAATGTGAATTTCTCCTCTCAACCACAACCAACCCAAAGTACTTTTTATTTTCACTTATGATTTACAGAAATCTAGTTTCCTTATCTGCAGTAGTGTCGACTTCCTTGGTATGATCAGCTTATAAGCTATTTTACAACACCCAAAATTTATGTTACTATAGAATCACGAGACAAAATGCAATGTTTTTCTGTAAGCCACCAGCTACAAGCAAAAGCTAAGATCCAGACACAAATACAGTGCTAAAGAAGACTGACCAACAAAAAAAGAGAGTATTTTTCTACATCTGTTTCCCATCTACACGTCCTCCTCGGGTGGGTGTGCCGAGCCGAACTAGGTGGGGTCATTAGTCTGTACTTCATGAACGTTTCTTTAATCACAAGGAGGCCTGATATAAACTGCTGAAATCTATTTTTTGAATAAATGTAGTCTCTAGAAATGTAGAGCTAATTTGTGTACTTTCTTCAATTATCTTTGAATTGGTCGCTGAAGATGTTGATAGGGCTTCAAATAGTTTAGGCATACTAGAGAGAAAACAATGCTGAAATTATTTTATTATCAGTCTATATGAGCTAAACTGCACAAAAAATAACAATATAATCTAGTCTTTTGCCACTGTTGCTTTTCAAGTCAGCTACTCTGTGTTGATTTTGTACTGGAGAAGGAATGCCACGCTCTGCACATGTTCGGTGTTTGCGGCCAAGTGTCCAGTCAGTGTGTGTCAGACTTGTTGAGATTGGCTTCCCGAGAAATGGCTAAATATTCTGTTGCTCTTGTGTAAATTTGCCACAAAGCTGTATATTATTGTTGTGTTTGTTTCTTTCGAATTTGTGATTACTTTTTATCCTAGGTGCACAATTCTCTTCTCTTTTCTTTTTTTTTCTGAACTGTTAATATCGCTTCCATGTATTAATGAAAAGTTATTTATTGCAAAGACTAAACAGAGGTTTGTTCATTTATTAACATATGCAATAAATAGAGACATGCAGTCACCGAATATAAAGTGCACACACTTTCAGTCTTGCATACAGTACAAACCAGATGGTTGCGTGCGCTGTACAAAACGGCACATTTTCAATTATCACCAATGTTTATTCAGAAAAATATTTCCCTGTTTTAGTTCATATAGGGTTACCTTTTTTCCTAGTTGCCAGATTATGTCATGTTTGCATGAGTCAGCCAAAAATCTATAGTTATTTTTTTCTGCTGATCCTTATTTTAACCTTTTAAATTCACATGCTGAATTTGAAGAGGAATCTCTCACAAGACTTCTCATGTTGCCTTTGGAGTATTTGGTTCTTTTATACAAGCATTCTACGTCAAAACATGTTCAGGTCTGCATAACCAAAGTACAGGAGAGCAAGGTAGCAGTCAGTAATGGTCCTCGGGATTTTTATTTTATTTTATTTCATTTTATTTTTGTAAAACAAACTCAGCATGAGCTATGGGTGGGTTAAAAAAAAGCCTCTTTCTCATTTCCAGGAGAAAGTGGCAGAGTTTGAGGCAAAGTCAGAATATTAAACCATATTATAAGTTTCAAGCAGGAGTGTTCAGTCTATTATCAGAATATGGAAGGATAATTGAAAAAACATAAATCTAAAGGAAATGTGTGACTCGCCTAAATTAACACGTAAGAATAGCTATTACATAACTAGCAACGTAATATATAATTTTCAGGTTCCACAAGTCTGCCTTTTCATGATAATAGGCAAGAAAACCTCACTGCTGAATGAAAGCAAAGGCTGTCATATCATGTGGGAAACTCACCAAACATGTGAAAGGAGGTATTCAGGGCAGATGGGATGTAAATTTTACTTATTAACTTACATGAATAACGCTACAGTATATGTGAAGAAAAACAAGTCTCTCCATGAAACAAAGAGGTGGTGGGGTCATGCTGTGGCAGCAATTTTCTTCAACTCTAATAGCGAAATTACACAGAGCACAAATAGAGGTCACTTTTGCTCTGTTTTTAGTGGGCCTCTTACTGCAATACTCAAAACGTATAATTTTTGAACCTTTTTAATTGATTTCGGAGGAGGTTAGCAGTGGTTCCCGATGCAACATAGTTAACCAACTGCTTATTGATCCTAGAAACTCAAGCAGAAAATTAAATAAGCATAAAGAGCTGGGGAGTTTTGCTATATGTGCCGTATAAAATATCATTATTTCATCAACACAGGACAGCTTATTTGCTCAGGGTCCTTCCATCTGTCTCTTGTGAGGTCGATGGCTCTGTACCAGGAATGGCTTCCCTTTTCAGGGAACACACGCTTGGCTGCGATGACATACTCGCAATCACAGACATGCCAGGAAATCACAGAAGAAGTAAAACTGAAACAGTAACTGAGTGAAGATCAGTGATGTGCACGCCCGTTTGTATCCGTTTAAAGATAAGCTGACGACAAAGAGAAATCACACGATGTTCTCATCTGTGCAGTGACTCAGCGACCTTGATTTAAGCAAAGGACTACACACATTGGGCACAGTTATTACCCGCTGTGCGTGTGTGTGTGTGCGGTTACCAGAAGAGACTGGGAGGCTGAGTCTGTGGGACAGATTCTTCTGCGCTTATCTCAGTCAAGGTCACAGAGATTACAGAAATACACCGGTTTTTCTTACTTTGATACAAACTGCTAATGTTGTTCGCACAAAGACTCTGATATGCTAAGACAGTCAAGCTGCAGCGGAAATCGTATCACGTCATCGCGAGACAAATTGCCGCTTATATCAATCCGTGCGGAATTTTCCATATGCAAACAAATTTCTATTACTATTTAAAGCATGACGAGTGAGATGAAAAAAACCATCCCATCAGAAGAAACTCGTCTGAAAATATAACTAGATCCGGTTTGATTTAACACAGGGTTTTAGCGAGCACATTGGGTTAGATTCGACACAAAAAAATTTAAAATAAATAATTAAAAAGAGCGAGTTGAAAAGAATGATTTTAAAATCCCCATGGGAACAAGTCTTTGTGGGTAGGAATGATTTTTGAGTATTTATCTATTTTGTACATCCAACTAAATTTCAGACGTCTTTCTTTATCTGGGCTTATAAGCTGCAAAAATGATCCAAACATACATTGTTTGTAGAGTTAGTGTTTTGTTTGGTTTGTCTTTAAAAGAGACTGGAAGGAGCCTCCAATTTTGACAATGTAGGAACTTAGTTGTTATGCTTTAGTGATGCATTTCCATTCCGAAATCACATCCATTGGTGTAACAGTTTTAAGAAATAAACTCATTGCTACAACTGTTCTTTTTTAAAATGCCTGCAAAACAGAAATAGCTGCTCGACACCCAGGACGTGTGGTTAAGAAATGTTTTAATGCCGCATGTGTTTATGTCAAACAATTGTTCATTAAACCTAAAACAACAAAATTAGTAAACAAAGAATAAAGTGTATATCTAAAATGTGACATTTAATTTTTGCTCTTTGTTGACCATTAAAACAAACAAACAAAAAAACATTTACTCTGTAAATTCCGATTCTTTAACAGAGATATAAACACTGGTTGGTGAAGCTTCACGTCAGGGTCCATGTTCAGTTTAGTTGAACGTTGTGCTAAATTGTTTTAATCATGTTCATCACTCTGGAGTTAGTAATACTGTCCAAATAATCCATGTACAGAAAAAAGAAAAGAACAATTTAGCTTAAAAACAAAACTTAGCACAACCACACCCATATTTGATCAAAACAAAGATATTAAACAGATTTAAAATTGTACTCAGTGACAAAGACCCTGATGAGATTCCATCATCAGGGATCTCATTAAACAAGCCTTTGTATTATGAGATTGTACGTTTATGTAACAGTGGGGTGAGTCCACACCACACCTCTTTGTGTGGAGGTTGGAAAATTGGCACTTCAGGACAAAAACAAGAATCAAACTGTAATTAAATGCTCTATCTCTGTGTTCTTTGCGTCTATACTCCTTCGCATTGTACTGTAAAACATGGACCTCATAAATGTTTGCTTTTTGTGCAAATGTCTCTATGTACAAGAATCCCCATGGGACCCAACGGTATCTCCAACCTTAGACGTGGGCACTTTTGGCATGATGGTTGGAGGAGGCTGCTGGCAGGTTGCCACCTCCGTGTTTGGAGTAGTAATAGTGATTGTTGTCCTGGAAGCTGCGTGGAGAGGAGGTGGAAGAGTCCGACGAGCACGTGAGCATCACGCCACCCAGCAGGCAGAAAACGGTGCCCACCCATCCGGCGTAGAGGGAGAAGCCGAAAGACATGAGGCCGAGCTCTTGGTTGGCACCGATGGGGAACCAGATGGTCGGCACCAAAGCGCACAATGCTAAAGAGGCAGAGAGAAAAAGTCCTTGTTAGGCATTCATATGGTGCAGACAAATACACTCAAAGACCAGCACCAAAAGAAACTAAAGGGGTGGGGATGCTGTGATGGTACAGGGGTTAAGCACAATCCACTTGAGGAGGTCTTAGTCCGCAACGTGACCCTCGCTGGTTTGATTCCCGGCCATGTGTCTTTCTTTTCTCTCATTATCTTATTTTCCTGCCCTAGCACTTTCAAATAAAGGCCAATAGAGCCAAACAATCTTAAAGAAAAAGAAACTAAAGGGATAAAATTGCTTAAGCATATTCTTTAATGTACCATTACACATATGTAAAATAGACCAAATATCATTTTTGGTCTATTTTAACTAAAAGTGCATACACTGTAACTATTTTTTGGCCTTTATAAAAAATAATGATAATAAAAAAGACACACAGGTAAACATGAAGTACATACTTTTTGCGTAAACAGGCATTTTCATATGAGCCCTAATCTTATCAGTTGAATTCAAAACTGTTGCCTTTAAAAAGTTCTGATATCTTTTTATTTTCTCGATTTTACAGCTGTTGGGGCAAATGGATTTGTAAGTCCGAAAGTCTAAGTTATGCACGTCCATTTTTAACCCAATGGCTTTTAGAGTGCAGTCAGCACAAATAAGGTTTATTCAAGGGCTATATAGCTCTGACAAATACTCCTGCTTTAGAAAATCTGAAAGGTATAAGAGGTAGTGGGTTTTTACCACATACCTAGCATGCTGCTTAACTCTCCGTGAAGGTGTGGAAGGACCTGACACAGCGGGTAAAGTTATAAGAACAAAAACATACAGAATAAAATAAATCCTCAAACACATTACAGAAAAATCAAACATGGGTCAAGGTTGTATTTTTATGGAGGAGCTGTGGAGTCATCAGTCAGGGGTTGGCAAGAGTTTTCTTTTGTGTGTGTGTGTGTGTGAAAAAGTAGGCGTTGGAAAAGAAATGATTGGGAAACAGGTGCTAAAGTTGCTTTCCAGGGAAGCGGGGCGTTGGACAAACGCTGTAGCAACAGTCCCATATTTATAATCTCTGTAAAGTTGGCCCCATGGGGAGATTTTCATGTGGCTCAGGACAAAAGCAGGGTGTGGATCGTAGGAATGTCTTTTTTTATTTTTTTATTTTTTAGGTGAGATAGAGGAGGAGAATTTAAATGTATCTTTTTTTTAAACTAACTCTCACCACTTTGTAACTATTTGAACTCAGGTTCAAACTGGTCGAAATGAGGAAAGTTCTGAGATGTACAAGTCATCATGCTTACAGTATTCATTGTGGCGTTTTATTAACATTCACTGTATAAAAACATTATGTGAATAAAATAATGATGTCTCTCACCAACAACAACCATCAGCACTCCTCCCAGGATGGCCCGTCTGTTCTTGGCGTTCTGCATGTCATTTCCAATGCTGATGCAAGGCATAGACATGAGAAGGAGAAGCACCGCAGGGAGACCCAGGATAGACCCCAGGATCATTAGGGCTCGAGTGGTCTGGATGTAGGCTGTGGGACAAAAGTCTTCTTTAATTTATACATTTTATTTTCCATTTATGCCAAGTTATTGGGCTCATTATGAACAAAAATGACTTCATCTGCGTTAGTTGAGGTGAGAGTTTAAACGGCAGCTACCTGGCAGCTCCAGGATCTGTGTGTAGGAGACACAGTGGTAGAGTGCTGTGGAGATGACACACTCCTCCCAGGGTCCCTTGGACTGCAGCTCATCCATCTTCTTGCAGGTGGTCACGCCATACTTACACATCGTCACCCAGTCGTTCGTGGACGTGGCAATCACAATCCCGAGCCAGCCCAGGGTGCTCAGGAGAAAGCCGCACAGTTGGAGGCAAGAGTTTGCCATGGCACAAAGTTTGCGTCAAGAGCGCTTGTTCCAAAGTCGCAAACCGCTTTTGGGAAAGTTTGAGTGGATTAAATAATTCTGTTGAAATGTGGGGGTGGGTAGAAAAATTCTTATCAAGGGTTTATATTCCAATAAAAAAAAGATTAAATCCAGATGAATATGTAGGTTTTTGCCTGGGGGGATCCACCAAATCAAGTCTGCTGCAAACGGCAAAAGAACAAAACTCTACCAGCATTGGAAGGTTTTTAAGGACTGCCTTAGTGAGAGAATGAAAAAAAAAACATCCCCAAAACTTTTATCCAATCAGAGGCTATGCATGAGAATAACTTTTTTTCATTTTTCTGAGACTGCACTGCCCCTTTGTTAAAAAAAATCATGCATGCAGCCTTAGTGTGCTGGTAGTCACTCTGGGAGAAGAGAATATTTAATAGGAAAGATGCTGCCATCTGCTGGTTGTAAAGTATTTCTGCAAGTGGTTTACATATGCACAGTGGATTCAGAGGTTCTACACGCTGTTATCATGCTAAGATTTTAAAGTTTGAAAAATGAGTGATGAAATTATTCAGTTTCACTTAAATCACAAGTTTTGAGTTTTACAACACAAGTGAAAATAAACTGAAATCTTTTCAGCCCAAAAATAAGTAAAGAAAACAAAAGCAACTTAGCTGATTACACTCGCGTACCTTGCCAAAGCAGGGTTAGATTTGATTTTAGTTTTATTACTGCACTGAGGTGTTTCAAGATTATTTGTTTCTTATGTCGTGTGGAAATGTGTTAGCAATATCTACTTACTCTTAGGTGTTCAGAATAAGTGAGTTTGCTATAGTAACTTCTGTCCACATTCTGCTTCACATCACAGACTTTCAAGGACATTTAGGTTTGGCTTCTACTGTTCAAAAATTTTGACTTTTAGTTGGTCTAAATTATTTTTGCTCATCTTCAGGATTACAAATTCAATATTATTCCTTGAATATTAAATAACGTCTCAGTTTCTCTTGATATCTTAACTGCAAAGCCTCACAATTTCCCTCAAACAGTTTCGGAGTGTGCTTTGTATACTTTAGCCAGGGTTGCGCATGTTTTATTGCAATAAAAGGCACATGTTAGCTCCACCATTGCAGCCAAAAGGTTTGTCTGCTTTGCATCCCTAAATTGCTATTTATTTTTACTATTAATCCTGCTGGAGTTCATATCTCAGAACTAATTATTGACTGCCAGAAATCACAGCAGGGGGCGATAGAAGACAGCTGCAAAACATGAAGACTTATTTGTTTCATTCCACTTGGCCCTGTTGAACGGCGTCAAGTCGTATTCCATCAGTCACATCGGGACACTGTAAACCCGCAGCAGCATAACAATCAGTCTAAAATTTATATGGACTGAAAACATCTGAGGAGCTTTGGCCAACTCTCGGCCCTCCGGTCTCCAGCAGAGCTGTCTCAAATTGGGTTTGACTCTCTGCATCTGTTACTTCCAGGGTTATTTTGTGCTTCAGCATGAACGCCACAAATATTTGAAATACTGCATTCTCTTAATGTATGACTCTGTCTATAACAATTTATTGCTTCTCTGGAATTTACTGGAAACACTTTTTTCACTTCCAGTGATGTATCTCCTGCATTTTTTTTTTTTTTTTTACATTTTCAGACTAATGGCACCACACCTCGTTAGTACATTAATATTTCTTGCTGCTGCTTCAAAGGGAAAAACCTTGCACTGAAGATAATCAATTAAGGCTTTCAACCTGGTTCCACTGCAGGGGGAAATTCAGGTGCAGCCACTCAGTGTACCTTTATAATCTCTTAAAAGATATACAAGTTGTTCACTGTGTCCAGCAGTTGTACAGCAGCAGACGACTTTTACTCAAGATTAGGAGAGCTGCAGGCTCTTCGCAGAGTTTAGGCAATTACAGCTCTCCCTTAAGAAAAAAAAAAAAAGAAGAAGAAGTGTAGAAGCTTCCGACTCCACTGTGATCAGCCCGCCAGCACCAACATGACCTCCAGCTGACACTCAAGTAAGGATTATATGTCGATTTGCAGCCATTGCAGGTGGTTTTTTTTTTTTTTTTTACCATGGGTTAAGCTTGTAGCCGACATTTATTGTGAAAAAAAAAGTTTAAAGGAAAAGGTCAATCAGATAGAAAGACATATATGACTACAAGTTTCAATAGAGTTGAAATCTTATATTAACATTGTGAAAGACCCATAGGCTTTTTTTCCCCCACAGACTCAAATGAAATTTGACTCCCTTTTTTTAGGGTCATTTTAGGTTATCAAAGTTATTATGTTTGCTAAAGGATAGAGTAATGAGACATGTTATCGCTTCCCAAAAGAGTTCAATGGAGGCTCAGTGATGATGAACATTGAATGTTAAACCTTAAAGCCCTTTGTCATTAATTTGATTTGGATTCTCGTCCATCTGGACACATCTTTGCTCTAGCAGGTCTTTGGCCCAGAATACATTTGCAAAGTAAAATCTGTCTTTTCTACATGTGTTTTAAAAACATTGTGGAAATGACTCCTTCCACTGTCTTTGTGGTGTGCGTGTGTATCAGCGTTGGTTAAGTAGGCAAGAATTACTTGAAAAATACACATTTTAGGCACCACCCACTGGCTGCCACCAGTGACTACAGGATTTCTCTGTGACCTTTTATTGGAAGGGTTGTGCACAGACATGACACTGTCATAAACATGACATAGCACTTATTATGAATGTCTTCATAAATGTTCTCACAAAGTGTGGTAAATAACACTTTGTGAGGACAAAGTGTTATTTACACTATTTCACTGTTAATGAAATGCTGCACTAAAAGTTGTATTAGAAGTCCACTCAGTGTAAGCAACGCATTATTTGGTCAATAATGAACCTTTTAATCCAAAGTTCTATTAAGATTTGCATTAAAAGTCCATAAAGAGGGTCGTTATTTCCTGAATGACACTTCATGACAACAGTCATAAACATTCACGAGGACTCCTTCATGATCACAATAAGTGCTATGTCATGTTTATGACAGTGTCATGTCAGTCTTATGCACAATCCTTCAAATAAAGTGCTACCGATTTCCCAAACATGTATGAGTCAAAGCTACACTCCATGTATGTTTTTGATTAAATCACATTATAACACGATATAACACTGAAAAAGTACATTTTACATAGTCCTCTTTTAAATACATTAATAAAGAATAGCTTAATATAATTTACTCCTCATATTTGACAGTTTATATAATTGTAAAATCATAATAATAATTATAATAGTCAATATGTTAAAAACAAACAGCATCAGATAAATGTTTGAATTGTTACAACTAAATGGTAGTTTGTTTTGTTTTGTAAAAGCAAAGACCTATTTCAATTGTTATTTCTTCATTTTTCATGGTTTTCAAAATTAATGGTGGACGGTCTAAAAACAAGCCTCATCGATTTAAGAATGATTCCCTCAATGTATGAATCATAGTGTACTGGAAGAAAGCACATGTGCCCTGTTGTTTTTCATCCCCATTAAAAAAAGTAATTCTCCAAAAACAACAAAGATGTCACAAATTAGTTTTAAAAATTCAATACAAAAACTTCACACTCCTGGGTGTGTGTGCATGAGGAAATAAGAGCGTGATGAGCAAAGTAAGAAAGAAGAAATCCGAGCATGAGCAAAAGATATCCTTCTGTGACTCCCAGAAGCGGTCTCTCATCTGACATGTACGAGGAGTGAGGCAGGAGAAAGGGAATACTATGATAATGAGGTGAGGATTGCCACGACGATGCTCACACTGAGGGATGACAGGACAGATTCCTGTGCTTCTGGGAGGAAAAGAAACAACAACTGAAGCATGTGTATTGTGCGAGCGAGAAATTGTGGTAGGGAGAAGTGAAGGCAGGACACAGTTACTCCTCTTTCACCCCTAATGCTGTCAGACCTGCCTGACAGTCAGGTGGAAGAAATGAAGAGCAATGATTGGCTCTTCTTCTTGACAAACCACGAGCAGCGGTTCAAGCTCAGAAGGGGCCATGAAGTTGGGGGAAAAAATGAGTTATGGATGATGAGGTGAAGAGGAGCACCAGGAGAATGATGCAGGAGAGAGTGAAGCGTTTTGGGGCCGGCCCACTGTGATTGAGTGACAGCCGCACTGGATGAGTCATCCCGGCCCGTGCTGATGACTATTTTTCAAATAGTTGTCAAGGCACATTCTATGATTAACAGGAGCTGAAGCCAAGTAGCGTCGATCAGTCTGAGCCACGAATGAATGACGTGCCTCAGAATGATAAGGTTTCAATCAAATCTCTGCAGCTGATTCTCTAAGAAGGAAAAATAGAAACATTTAACAAAATAATTCTGAAATGAACGGGACTTTTTTGGTTGGCGAGACTGTCTCGGGAAAAGTAGTAGGCTGCATTTTTAAAGTCCCATGTTTAAGAAAAACCTATTTAAATTCTTCCTAAAGTTGAACGCCCTGACATACAAAACCAGCCGTCTTTCTAAAAGTTGGAAACTTGCAGAATCTCATTGGGATGTTCTGCAGAAGCTGTCTCCGTTGAGCTTTTGTGGGTCTGGCAATCGTGGCATAACTCATAACCCACTTGATTCTCCTTAGAGAATTGAGAAGGCAGTTTATTTTTATGTCATAAAGATTCACTAAATGTTTTTTTCCAAATATTACATTTAAATGAATTGTACCAGCAGTTCTTTGCATTTGTGTTCACACTTTTTCACATTGTGACACGTCACAATGTGAAAATGCCTCAAAATCAGTCAGATTGCATAAAGATCACGCCCCAGATTGGAAACTGTATTTAGATATGAACTTTTGCTGAACCTTTCTAACACAGGAGTATGCTTTGATCCAAGCCATTCTGTTGCAGCTCTGGCTGTATGTTTAGGTCTGCTGTCCTGCTCGAAGGCTGACCTCCTGACCTTCTTCTTGCTTACTGCGTTTGCTCCACGACCTGTCAGTTTCGGTGGATCTCCATCTCTTGGTAGGTTTGCAGTTTCTTTGCACATTTGGACGACTGAACGTTGCTCGGTACAACGTTAAAAGTTTTTAAATACCATTCTGCAATCCACCTGCGACAAGCATTTCTTCAGCTAAGTCCCTGGCCTGTCTGCTGCGTTCCATTGAGTTTGTGATGCCGTTTATTTAATTGTGCTGTGTAGCAAACCTCCAAGGCATTCGCAGAACAACAGCACTTATACCAAGATTAAATTACAGCCAAACATGAGAAGACATCATTAATCTTTTTA